TTTTTAGGAGGAGACTTTCTCCTGGAAACACTTTCAAACAACACATACTAGTTCAATCTCTTTCTAACTGTGTTTTAAAGAACTTTAAAATTCCAACAGCGGCCTGCAGAGTTGGAGATTTAGCTCTTGGTTTTTTTTTTTTGCAGTTTCTTTGAGCATTGCACAATCCGAACTTGAGGGAAATTTGCTGGGATGCCCACTCCTGTGAGATTGTGCCTAAATGCCCCAAAGTGGCAAAACCTGCCAATCAATTAATCATGTGCATTTGATTAGCAGCACCTGGCTGCTATCTTCATTCTTGATTCCCAATGAAGCAGTAAGGATGAACTTGGTTTTCACAGGACTCAAGTATTTACTGTTGAATAAGTTGAACAAAACTGTTTCGTTATTTTCTCAGTTTTAAAAATGATCGTCTCTTCTTTTGCTGTTTGAAATGCACAACTGACTCCAACAAAACAAACTTTACAGTATTCAAAATATAATTGAATAAATGTTCCAACAACCACCACACTCGTCTTTTACACTCGTTTCCTCCATGCAACTGCGAGTGAGATTCCTGAAATGTTTCAGATAACCCACAGACAAAACCATGCAGTGAAAACACAGACAGTAGAGGGGCTCCCAGTCCCAGTCACACGCTCTCAGGGCTCGTCCCATCAAGTACTGTTCCCAGCCCTTCCACCTTTTCCCACCAAGTCTGTGCTGTGGCCTGCTTCCTCACACACCTGGACACTACACGTTTTTAAACAAAGGTTTTTCCTGCATAGATAAAGGCTGGAACCCACCAAATCAATTGTACTGTATTTGTTTTAACATTCACTCAATTATTTTTGCACACATTTCTGTATAATAAGGTAACGAACGTGGCTAGTCAACCACAAGAAGTCCCCTTTTTATTGATGTGTGTGCTAATAAAAAGCTTGTGTCTGCAACAACAGATCTAGAAGGAAACAAAAGTGAGGAATCAACTACATTTGGAAAGCTTGGTTGAGAAAATGCACACTCAGGAAAACACAGAAAAATGGGAAAATAACACATTACCCTGCTAAGAAGGCAAACGAGTGAAAATGTATTTTAATCATTGAACGGTGACCCTAAACGTAACATAACAAATACAACAAGCAGTCACACTCGTTCTAAAAACATGGACCCCCTCGCCCAAAAAAAAATCGTCAGGTTGAGTGTAACGCAGGTGTGGATTTTTGATTTGGGGTGGAGTACAGAAAAGGAAACTCTAAAGGCCTTAAATATGTCAACTTAACAACAGTTTTACAAATCATTAAGCTCGTTAAGTAAATTAGCAAGTCATAATGTTATCATTAACAGAAAGTCATTCGCCTTGTTGAAGTAACCACAGTGGGAGCGATTTCATTCATCCAATTTGTGCAGTTTTTAAACCACGTTTTAATTACCTTACTAACCTTTAACTCCCAATGGTTGCTAAAAAATAAAAATAAATAACGAAAAAAATAAAACGGGTGTGTGATTTTAAGTTATTGCAGTATACAGTAAAGGCACGAGGCTTGCAGTGTCGGGCTTTATTAAAATACAAGCAATGCTAAACAACTAGCCGGCGTTAGCATTTTTAGCTAGCCAGCCTTTCTGACAGCACTACAAGCAACTTGAGAACACCAGAAAAATATATTTAGACAAGTATATTTAGAAAAGGTAAGGACTTTTATCCGCCATCGTTACAGCACGGTGGTGTATTTTTAACCCGCCGTGTCTCCGGGTATGTGGGTGCAGAAACGAAGCGGAAGTTACTTTAACAAACAACCCGTTAGCCAGCGAGATGCTAATGTTAGCACACAAAACTGCTCGCCGGGCGCACCACCAGAGCGTTTAGGAGTTTGTGGCTGTGATTGTGGCATTTTTGCCGTTACTACGAAAGGCATGCTGTTGCTTGAGGCCTGATTTTTTTTTTCTTTTTACCTTAATGATCCTGCGGGGCAGTCCTGCCATCTTGTCTTAAATGCGGGCTTTTTAGCTCTCAGTGCCTTCTTTCTGTCGTTGGCATTGACAGCAAACACACGTCTTCCGGGTTCTCTGCGTCACGGTGATAGTGAATGGAGGGACGTGAACGTGACTTACACAGCAGCTTCTTGTCTAACACACTCACGATGCAAACATGTTTCTCGAATGGTTAAAAAATATTATTCCAAGTAAAGGTAACGTCTTCTTAAGGTAAGCCCTAATGGAAAACAATAAATATGGGTAACGTGGACTGGCCTGTACGTTTAATTTTTAATAGCATAACATGAAAAAAAAAGAAGAAGCGAACAGTTACTGGCAAGTTTAAAAAAATTCAACTAAGAAAAAACAGATTTATGAGATTTATGTGACATGAGTGATATTTATAGTGATATATATTTATGCATCCAAAATTGAGCTTGACCAATATCTGCTGTGGCTCATATGGACAAGCCAAATGGCTTCCAGAGAAAAGTTTTCAGACAAAATAAACAATTAGCTATTTGGCCACAATGACACAAGGTAATGCCTTTAAGCTGAAGGAGACTGTACTAACTATCTAGCATGGTGGTGGTAGCACCATTTCCTAAGGCTGTTCCGCTGTCATTAGTTCTGGTACATTGCACAAAATAGATGTGATAATAAAAAGGGGGGATTAACTTCAAATTCTTCAGTGATTCTTGACAGTGATCTGATATCCACATCAAAAGCGGTTTTGGAATGGATAACGCATACTAACATTAAACTTCTCAAATGGCCATCCCAAATCCCCAAACTTAATCCTACTTAAAAATTTGTGGGCTGCATTTAAAAGCTGTGTCCATTCAAGGAAACCAACCAATTTAAATGAACTCTACCAATTCTGCCAAGAAGAGTGTTCAGATATTCATCCAGTTCCATCCAGTAAATGTTGCACCAACATTTATCAGAATCAGAATACTTTATTAATCCCGAAGGAAATTAGGGTTACAGCAGGCAGCACGCTAATGGCGCATGCGCACTTACAAAGGAACCTTCTGACCAACTTTACACAAACATCACATTGGGAAGACATGTCAGAGAGGTAGGCTGATAGGAAAAAAACAACGAAAATACATAACATGAGGTAAGAGGAGGAGAAAAAAAACTCCACTCAGACCACCTCAGCACAAAAAGCACATGACTATCAATACACCATAGAAACACAAGACAAGCAACAGGGGCGGGTAAAGGGTAAGAGAGAGCCGGTGTAGACAGCGCATCCGGTCCTGCAGCATGTCTGCACTGGTTCAGTCGACTGCCATCTTCCCTGGTAGGGCACAAGCATCGAAGCCGTTTGGAAAGGGAGGGGGGATCAGTGTGTGCATATCAGTGTATGTGTGTGTGTGTGTGTGTGTGTGTGTGTGTCCAGAGTTCAGCTGAGACAGTGTCCTTCGCCCCGCCAGGCTAAGTAAACAGTCTTCCAGCCAACCCAGGTGGCCTTGCATGGAATGGGGGGAACAGTCTAAACACGGTCGTTATCAGGGTGTTTTGTTCAGCTCCAGCCTTGAGACCGCAGCTGGCGCTGAAGGGGTCTCCGCATGAAGTGATGGTGGTTTTTACTTTAGTGCAAACAACTCATATGAATTTCAGAGCTGTTCTGACAGTCCAACACTGGTCTCTCAATCTCCCGTTGGAGAGCCGCGAGCTTTCTATGATGTTATCCAAATTTACGTTCCGTGATGTTGTCGTTCTTTTTGCTCAAAGAGCAGGTTCTGAGAACTCACGACTGCAGTGCACTTCCCAAGATTTGATCCAATTTGCGCTCAAAGGTGTTATTCAAGATAGCCCCTCCAGATGTAATCCAGTTTTTCACTCAGAGGTCTTGTTCTGAGTATTCACGGCAGCCATGCATTCTCCAAGATCTTATCCGTGCTGCACTCAATGAGCCCATTTTGAGAAACTCACGCCTCGTCCCATCATTTCAATCCCAGCGGGCAGCCTTGTGGGGGTTTGAACAGCCGGTTCCGCTTCCTTAATTCTTCGATAAGCCAGGGCCAAGCCAGCTCCGATCAGCAAGAACCCTGTTATCATGGCATTTGACCCAGTATCACTGCGCTTGTATGCATATGTTTTCTACTTTGTACACCTAACCTACAGTGCAATACTATAGCATCAACTTCATTTCATAAGAGGTGTAGAGATTAAAGCTGTTAATATATATAAAAGTATATCCATCCATCCATTCACTTCCGCTTATCCTTTTCAGGGTCGCAGGGGGCGCTGGAGCCTATCCCAGCTGTCATAGGGTGAGAGGCGGGGTACACCCTGGACAGGTGGCCAGTCTGTCGCAGGGCCAACACACAGGGACAGACAACCATTCGCACTCACATTCACTCGCACCTTCACACCAATTTGGATTATCCAATTAACCTATCTCCACAAGCTGTATGTCTTTGGACGGTTGACATCTTACTTTGACCCAGAAATCAGTTCGGGCTAATAAATATGAGAAATAAAAATTACTTTATCAAACTCATAAACAATAATCATCATGTAATAAAGTGAGCAGTGACCAACTGCCTTGTTATCAGCACCACAGTTCAAAAGTCAGCATGCATGTTCATATTGGAGGGGACAGAAGCAGATTAGTGCGTGTGTCTCAAGAAGGAAGTCACCTGGATTTTCAAATGTATACCATGTGCATCTACTAGGAGGCTGAGGGGTAGCACTGGCAGCATCAGTATTTTTTGCACTGCAGAAGCTGTAGTAGAATAGTTGCTATTAACATCAACATGGCTGTTTTTTTGTCATTTGGCAACACCTTTTTTTCTACATGTGCTTCCCAGCTGTGCTTGTTCCTGAAGCAGAAGTTGTTCAGAGGTTACCACAGTGCCTGATGTTGTCTTTCCCAGTGTTAGACAACTCAACGCATTTCTTAGACTGAACATCTCCAAGGTCCAATAAACCTGCAGAGTCCTGTTGAATTTTGGGATATTTTTTGTCTCATGGATGAATAGGAAGAACATATTGGAGGGGGTTTGGAGCTCCTCCTCCTCCTCTCATATCTGAATGGACAAAAGCTTTTCCCTTTTGGGTGTCAGGCCTATAATGTGGACATTAGCAGTGCAACAACTTTCACCATGCGGTTTCTGCCCCATTGTAGCTCCACAGGTGCGTTTTTATGTCTCTTACGGATAGATTACGTTTTAATGCAAGCACTGTGTTTGAATGAGTGTGAGTTCTTTTTTTTATTATGCCGTTTGTCATAAATGTATTTCTGTGACTTAGTTTATGTATTTTGTATGTATTTACACTCTGTGTTACTGCTATATAAATGTAAGTACTTACTTTAAAGAATGCAACAAATGCAAGATTGTTTTAAATGGTTAAAATTAGGTTTTGAAAACTTAATTTCAACTAGATAGCAAGAGTTTTTGGATTTGGTTAAGACAGCTCGTGCTCAGAGTTACATATTTAACTATCATCAGACAGATCTGACCTTGTAGTATTTAAAATGTATTTTTTTATGCATCTACGTACACAGTATTAGATTTTGTGAAGGATTAGAAATTTTAGGATCATAAATTTCTGTCTGTGTAGGTTTGTGCTCACAAATGTGTGTGACGGTAAAATTTAATAAGTTATGCTTGTAAAAAATTTTTTTTTTATATTCATGATAATATGGTAATAATAATAGCTGATTTATGTCAACCTGTGCACTTATAAAATGACGTTTCCTAAATTGTTTTGCTCTCATATCTTTTAGCATTTTGTTCTGCTTCACCTCCACAGCCATTTGAAATTTTCCATTGTTCAAGACACAGAGGAACAGATGAACCAGCACCTAATGCAGTCCTTCCGTCAGTGCACAGAGAGAACAGACAATACCAGCCATATTACAGGGGCTGCTGCTCACACCGAGGGCTTAATTCAAGTAGAAAGATTTATGTTAACAGAGAGCAGCCATACTTCCCAGGCCTAAATGAAGTGTACTTCACTTTGCTGCCAGCCTTTTGGTTTTAAGTGACCTTTAAAGCTTTACCTGATGGATATAGATATGTGCTGTGAGCAGTTCAGTTAAACACAGATTTTTAGTCTAGGTATCTTAGAGAAGCACTCATAGAGCCCTTAGAAAACTTAAAGAAAGTGATTTGGATTTAAAATGTAACCAAAATTTATAATAATATGTAATATGAAGCTATAACTTGGTTAGCATGATATCTTGAAGGTGAAAATCGTTGGTTCCCTCCAACAGAAACAATAAATACACCACAGGTATATACGTACCTGTGCTTTGAGTGACTGATATCTCATTATGTAATTTCACAGGTATTTCTGTCTTGTTTTCAGATCAGTGGAGCACACACTGCTATGTGCTATGTTTGTTCCTCCTCATCAACTGCTTTGGAGCAGCTTCTCCCCTTTATGCTCCTCCCGCGCCAACAGGTCTCCTCTCTGCTTTCTCTGCCACGCAAACCAGTAGCGTGGTGGGAGGCAAGCAGAAGGCAGTAACCTTCAACAGGCTCGTGGTCAACATCGGAGGGGATTTCAATCCAGACACTGGCCACTTCCGCTGTCGCATCCCCGGGGCTTACTATTTCTCCTTCTCTGTGGGGAAATTTCCCAAAAAAATGCTTTCTGTCATCCTGGTGAAGAACGGAGAGGAGGTGCAGGCTATAGCTTATGACGACTTCCGCAAGAAAGGGAGAAAAGTTCAGAGCCAAAGTCTTATGATCGGTTTGAAGAAAATGGACATAGTGTGGTTGCGCTTGCAGCCTAGCCCCCAGTATGCTTTGTACAGCAACGCTGGGCCTTACATCACCTTCTCAGGTTACCTGGTCTATCCTGATGCCATGGCAACCAGCTACATCAGCAACCACTTGTCTACACCTGCTCTACCCTACCCAAACTGTCCACCTCAGGTCAGAGGCCAGAGAGAGCAGCCGCGGTCTGCCTTCTCAGTAGCACGGACATCAACCCTCATGGGTCACAGCAGCTGGACACAAGAAAAGCCACCAATCACCTTTGATGTAGAATATGTCAACATAGGGGGCCATTTCAACAAAACCTCTGGCCGCTTCACCTGCCACTTCCCAGGGGTGTACTTCTTCGCCTTCACTGTGGGGAAACATCCTCGTAGGGCTGTTTCAGTGAAGCTGATGACCGGGAAGGGTGAGGTGCAGGCGATGGTGTTTGATGATGACACATCAAAGAGAAGGGAAATGCAGAGTCAGAGTTTGTTGCTGTCTCTCAGCAGGGGCGACAGCGTGTGGCTGTACAGTCAACAGGATGAGCGCTTTGCTGTTTACAGCAACCAGGGCAGGTACACCACGTTCTCAGGCTTCCTGGTTTATCCAGATACAGAAACACCTGCCACCAGCCAGGAGGACAGAGGTCACCTATAAATGTCTTAAGGTTGTAGCTGTTTTTTGTTCCCAGCCTGCAGTTTATCTCCACGTCAATGAGTCAGGTAGAATATTTAAACTGTGGTCAGCATAGTTTAACAGATTCCTCTCTCTCTTTCTTTTTGTAACATTTTGTTTGTTTTTATTAAACAGTGTTATTCCAAAAGGTAACATTTGTTGCCACCAGATGGTGCTATGATACAGCTAAGTGCAATGTTCTCTTAGAAAATCTGTGATACAGTTTGGGTTTAGGTGCACAGATACAACTATCTGAGAATTTTCATTTTAAAAAAGTGAACATTGCATGACAAAAAAAAACGTTGTAAATGATGTAAAGTTTATTCGAATTTATGTACTACAAAATGTAGACTTAGAGTTGCACCATGTTAAAGTTATTTAACTTTTATTTGTAGAAAGATCTGATTAAATGATTTGTGTGCATTTTGGGAAAATGATAAATAAATTTCCTTAAATGAGTTTTACATATGTTCTTTTTCTTCTTCTAAATCAAACAAATGCTGGTTTGTGGATGAAAATAAACCTATGATAAACCTAGAGATTAGACACGGGGCGATATTGGCTCAAGAGTTGGCAGTTCGTCTTGTAATCGGAAGGTTGCCGGTTCGAGACCCGGCTCCGACAGTTTCCATCGTCGTGTCCTTCACCAAGACACTTGTGGTGGTGGTCAGAGGGCCCGGTGGCACCAGTGTCCGGCAGCCTCGCCTCTGTCAGTGCGCCCCAGGGCAGCTGTGGCTACAATGTAGCTTGCCATCACCAGTGTGTAGATGACTGAATGTAGTGTATAGTGCTTTTGGGTCCTTAGGGATTAAGCCCTATACAAATTTAGGCCATTTACCATTTAATTAAGGATTTTTATAACATATTATAACACGGGACTCAACATCTGATAAATCTCTTTCCAAACATGAATCCCTAAATGTTGCCATTTCTACTTAAGCTCTTAAAGCTTCTAATTCACAGCACCATTACCACCAGAAAGAGAAAAAGAGCCAAACATTTATCTTAAATAATCTTTATTGGCAATTAGAAAATTGGTTAAAACATGCAAAAAAAAAAAAAAAATCCCTCAGTCACGGCCCTCTAATTGAGACGCCTTTGTTTGGCCAGATGGCTACCTACAGGCATAAATAAGGAATAAAAAGTCAATGTTTCTGGAAGATGTAAAAGTGAAAGATTATACAAATATGATCAAGCAGAAAAGGTGACAATGTTGGGGTTTTTTTTGGTTTTGCTTACTCTTTATTGAATAACTGCATCCCAGATGTTGCGACTAACTATTATAAAAACTATTTCCAGGTAAACCCTTTTTTTCTTGAAAATATTTATTCAGGCAGATCGTAGGATTCACCCATTATCACACTTAATCTAAGCCTTCCACTTCTTAGGAGCACACCGTGGCTTTCCAGTGTTTGTACTTGTTTGACTAATCAAAGTTTTGCATGATATACACAGTAAAAAAAAAAGGTTGGCCAAATCACAATATTTGAACAGGAGCCTCTTTGTCTGTGAATGGTTAAAAATAATAGAGTAATCCATGAGAAAGGCACAAGCAGCACTCTAAACCAATCACTACATGACTAATGCCAATGTCATGGCTTCACAACAGAGGCTGGGAAAGGACTGTATGTTTGAGCTATGATGTTGTCTTGGAAGTTAATGTCCACATTATCACCCCTGTGTTACCGCCTTCTTCTCTCGTCCTGGCCCATCACTGCACATCCCAGATCTCACAGAGCAGCGGGGTAAATTTGTGGTCGTCCGTTCTCCAGGATGTGAGCATCTCCGCGTGGAAGTGGTTGAGCGTTCTCAGCTCTGTCAGACGGCCCAGGAGACGAGCGAAGTACTGCGGCTCCTGCGGATGCTGCAGGGCGCACAGCTTCCTCAGCACATCCAGCATGGGCTCCTGAAGTCTCTCAACAGCCTGCTGATCTTTGACATAAGGCCGATCTGGAGAGGAATAGAGTGGATAGTGATCATCATCTTCACAGAAATCAAAATTTGAATCAAATATTACTTTAGGAAACAACAAAATACATCCAAATCAATGCCGTTAACACTATTTTTGGGGGGGCTCACCTGGTGTCAGGATGGTTACGGCAGTAAGGAGAGCTTGTTCCTCCTGTGCCATGTGGAGTTCGCTGATGCTTTTGTAAAAGTTGAACATGGGTGTAATGAAGTCTTGTGATATACCTGCAGAAAAAGCAAGCAACATATTTTTTTCTAATAAAATAGAAAGTTTTATATATAAAGTCAGTGAATAGTAAAATAAACAAGTCCTCAAAGTAAGAAGCCATCTCTTAAGCTTTGGTTTAATTACTTAAAGTAGAGTAATTCAATTTCTGTTGTTGTTGTTCATGTTGTGGAAGAGCCAATAAACATGTTTATACTGACTGGAAGTGCTCTAAACACAGTAAACTGACCTTCCCAAATTAATAATAAAAAGTCTTTGATCTGCAGCTCTACGCAGACAATGTTAGTCTGTGCACTAACTTGATGGATAATAAAGGATTGTCGATGCTGCTGAAAGCTGGCGAGGTTTTATAGTTTTAAGATGCACAGAGACGGCCTGTTTTATGTAACAGCCTGTACTTTGACCAGGATAATCTATAACGTTGTATTATACTATTCATTTTATTTATTTAAAAGATGCTGTAAAGTTTTTCATGTAAAATACATTCAGTTTTAAGCTTTTACAGCTAATATGATCAAAGACTGGAGTCTCTCAAAGTTAAATCAAAAACACATATACATGGTCTGAGGTGGATGTGCTCTGCTGCATTGTGGTGAGAAGAGTGGGGAGGAGGTGGATGAAGGTGTGAGAGAAGCGAGGCAAAGGAGAGAGCGAAGAAAGAGTTTTTATAAGTGAATTGTATTCAGTATGTGAAGCCATCAGAAATTACGACACAATTATTTGCAGTTAATCATAGATCTTATCCTTATCCTAGCCCTGCGTCAGATTGGTGACCTGTCCACAGTGTGCCCCGCCTCTTGCCCTATGGTAGCTGGGATAGGCTCCAGTCTATATGAATAAACATATTTCATATACATATTTCAAACTACTCTCTATATTATTTAAAAGTTTTTGTTTAGTATGCTCTTGCACATTTGCAGCATTTGCTGATATTAAAGCTCTTCAGCTAGCAGAGGGTGCCTGTCTGCTCGGGCACATTATCGAGCTTTCAGAAATGCCAGCGGGGCTCAGAGGGAGAGAAGTGGACAATAGCACTTCTGATGTTTTGATAAGAAACAATGGCCTCCTCAGACAGCTTTGACCACTTATTCTCCCAGACTGGCCTTTACTGTGAATATCTCTTATAGGCACTATTCACACCACAGCAGCACTGAGGGACCCAGTGACGTGCACACACGCCTGCCATCACCGCTGCTGTCTGTCTAACTGTCCAACCTGGTTGACATAATGACACCCCACATTAATATAAATGATTTTTTCTTTTAAAGGAGACAACACAGGGGACGTGAGCAAAAATCTATAGGTTTGGATTAAAACAGCAGAAGAAACTCATGCGCTGTAATAAATTAATCCCAGAAAAGCCCCTCTCCTTTAATCTGCAAGCATGGATGCACATGTAGCGCCGAACGGAGTGAAACAATAGCCAGTGAAGGTGTGTGCTCATGCGTAATCTATACCCAGCCAGAGATCAACAGGTCAGCATACGTAACCGACACAGATCAAATATTAATCAAGGACCTGAAAGACTTAGCTGCTTGGCTGCAGAAGACCAAGACTGCTGAAGGTCATGAAGCAAGAGCTGCACACATAAAAACCTGCATCTGCTATAACTGCTGAATATCTGCACCGACACATTTATAGGTGCTGCTGTAGACTCACCACTCTTCCGTATCCTCTCCTCTAAAAGTTGCGCGTATCCAGTGGGCATCTTTTTGCTGAAAACCTGAGCTGAGCGCAGATATGTGGCTTCCACAGCTGAACCCTTCAGCAGAGCAATCTGATCTTCGTGATCCAGAGACAGAAACCCTATGACAGTCATAACACTTGTCATTACAACAGGCAAGATACTGTGTTTTTACTTTACGTACTCTCCCAGCATCTGTCATGCCTCTGTCCATGACCTTAAGATAACACTGCAGTGTGCTCCACAGGATTGGTAAAAAGAAAAAAGAATTACCTGGAATACTTTTTGTAAACTCCACCAAAACTTGAACTTGACTTGTTGCCACTTCTGTCAGTAGAAGAAAGTTTTCATCTGCGCTGTACTGTTCTTGTAGCTTGAGGAAAAAACAGCGGGAAAAACAGATCAGAGGGAAGAGGGAGCAAACAGCAAAAACTCCACAAAGCAAACGAATAAAACAGTCTCGGCGGCATGTAGTCATGCAAACATTATTTCACCCAACAAGCTGGTGCTGCTTGTCTGATGTCTGTGCATACAGGTTTTATTTTCTTAGCTGCATTCCCTGCAGCCAGTTTTTATCAGCACTGTTCGCCTGGTTATTTAATATCAATATTTCTGTTTCGTACCAGCTTTTTAGCAAAATCTTGAGGAATCTGATGTTTGTTATAAGCATCCACGATGAGTTTCATGAGTGCCTGCTGCTCTTTGGTGAGTTCAACTTTTTCCTGGATTTAAAGAGAAAATCAAAAACAGCCCATCATTAAGCGGTGACGTCTTCTGTGCCTGTTTGAGAGCATCAGCGAGCTCTGAGGACATCTGCAGATGTTGAGGTTACCTTTGACAGTCTGGTGGTGGAGGTGACCTGCTTGTTGTCGACATTCTCTGGCCCCTCCGTCTCATCCCCAGTCGACTGTCCTGGGGAGGCCTTGGTGTTCTTCCGCAGCCTTTTAGATTTACACTGGATCTCTGTCAGCAGGCCTGTCAGTAGCGACGAAGGATTCACTTTGCGTGTTAAATACCTTGCAGGTTTTTAATGCAGCGGCAGTGCTGAATGTTTATTTTCATCTATGATGGCTTTGGTCAAACTAATTACTATCTATGTGCAACAAGCAGGCAGATTACTGCAACTCTTGCTGTTTACTATTTTAACATCACATCATAATGTGAACTGCATTCTACTAAATGTGATTCCTTTTCTACCTTATTCCTTCCCCAAAACACTGCAACTGCCTCTACTTTAGATTTCTCTGATCAATTGCATAATAAGTTTACACTTAAGATAGTGCTGAGAAGAGAAGCGTTCTCAGTAACCATCTGTCTTCTCATATTTTGATCAAAAATCTAACTCACTAGTCTCTTGTTGAGGCAGCAGATAGAGAGTCGTGAATGACTTTCACCCTGCATTATTCATCACATCTTCTCTGTACTATTTATGAGCAACAGGAGTCCAGCCTCTCATTCTTCTCTTTTCAGCTGACAGCTCTATAATAGACCCCAATAATCCTCCAATACCCAGTTTCAGAAAAGTGGGTGCTCCTATTTACAGATT